ATAACGCGAAAGAGGAGCAACCGTGGAAGGCGGTACAAATTAGAGACGGATATCGTATTGTTTCGGAACAATGTCAGAGGGATTAGCCATTTCGTACACACGGAACGTCCACGTGAAAACGTCCTGCTCTCGTTCTGGTCCCAGCGTTACAATTGCACCAATGACGATTTATCCAAGAGAAGCTGGGAAAATAACAAAGGATCTGCCATTCGAGTTGGAACATCTCGCAGACGTGGCATACGACGAGACTTAGTTGGTAGTGGTGATGGTCGAGAAGGGGCGACGATCAGCGATTCCATCGTCGTTATCGGCGATGAATAATTAATGTCGTTAATGAATTAAAGATTACCATGGATTAAAGACAGCTAGAGAGCTGGCTGGTTGGCTGGCTCGTTGAATATTGGCTGCATCTTGTAATTCCACCGGATGTGTATCGATTCCGTCTTCGGCTAGATACGATTTTTAATTCGAGGAACAATTACATTACCTGAAATATACGTGTTTTAAACTATTTATCTAAGGAATTTTTTTTTAGAAATTTCTATCTAAATTGTCTAAAAAATCGATCGGTTTTGTATATGAAATTATAAAGATTGATATTTACTTGATAAAATAAAACATAAGAAGAGGAATAATTCGGAAAGGCTCTTTCTTATCAGAGACATCGATGTGTTAAAGCGGGTGGCAAAGGCGTCAGATAAGGCACCATCGTTGATTGGATCACCGCGAGAAATCGATACCTCAGCCCCCTTCCCTCCAGTTTGAGAGTTCTCCTTCTTCGTTTCAGTCTCTGCCTTCGTCTTTCCTCGGTACGCTCTCCTCCTCTTCCTCCTCGCACTCTCTATCTCTCTTTTCTATGTTCCTCCTCCTGGCCGCCGCCGTGGCTGCCTCCAATTTCCCCGTGCCGGGCTCCTGGAGGATTCTCGAGTACCCTCTCATCGCCCTCTGGGCCATCCAACCGAGCTCTGTCCGGCAGTCTCCATGCCAACACCCGCTCGATAAATTTATTGGTCGCCTCTGACACGAGTGCTTCTGCATATTTCTTTCTTCTTTTCTCTAATGCTTCCTCTTATAACGCTCTCTTTGTTACATCTAGATACACCGTTCTTACAGCTAGGAATATTTTCTTGGCTGGGCTGCTCAGTCACGGGACCTCGCGAAATGTCACGCGACTCTTGCATTTCGGCCTTTATTAGTGCTGAGTTTGCTTAT